TTGTGAAATCTTATTTCGTGCTTCTTTCCATCTATTTCAAGCTCCATGAAATCTGTTTCATCTGTTATAACGAATGAAGCGATAGTATTGAAGTCAACAACTCTGAATGCAAGTGGCTCATTCTGTAGACCTAAGTTTGTTTGTAGCTTTACTGTCCCGTATTCGTTTGGGTCTGTACTTTGCAAATAGAACAACATTTTATTCTCATTAAAATATGAGTATAGCTGCATATGCGTATGAAGCTGACAGAGCTAAACGTTTATATTTTGGTCAATACTCTCTCACACTTACTGACAAATATATTGTTATCAGTGATGGAAATACCGAGAAATACATAACATGGAAGGACTATGAAAAGTTTGACCCTATTTTAACTCCATGTACAATGCCATTCATTGTAAATGGTGAAGTTGTCATGAAGAACGACACAACAGTATATAAGTCTGTTCATGAAGCGTTAGAATATATGTTGAATTATAATCCCGAAAGATTTGACCCAAGCACTACACCATGTGCAATGCCTTTTATTAAGGACGGTGAAATCGTAAGAGTTCCGGATTCAACGGTTTATACTGCTGTTCAAAACAGTTTACAAAACATTTTAGCGAATATCTTTAATTCAGAAACTACAGAAATAAAATTACCATATATAACAGATGCTAAAGAAATTAAATCAAAAACGACAACATTATTTACGTCACTTAATGATTTAATGACTTATATCATTAATATTCCTGCACCAACTACAGCATTTGATCCAAACTCGACGGTTTGCAGTGTACCTTTCATTAAGGATGCTTCATTAATTACTTTAAGGGATTCGACAGTTAATGAATCATTAAAGGCGTCATTAATGAAAATCATTGATTTTAACTCATTCACGAATACATATAATTCATTCATTAATGTTTCATATGCTTCTAAAGAAGGTGAGCCAAAAACTATCGATAAAGCGGTGTATGAAATAAAAGCATCAACGACGAAATTGAATTCGTTAACTTTTGACGGTGATAGTTTCGTTAATGACATAACATCGGGGAAAACAATTTTAACGAAAGAATATTTAAAATCTCATGTTAGTGAGTTCGTTGAAATTGAAAAAGAAGGTGGAATTAAGTTCGATCCACTGAATTTCATTTTCAGCTTAGCGAATGCGGGTGTTAGTTTCGCTGAATGGACAACTATACAGAGTGAAATAAATGCAATATGGACGTTTTTGGGGTCAAAAGCGGGAATGGGTGAGCTTGTAAATGCTGCAAGAACATTAGGTGAAACAGGAAATTTTGTAGATGGTTTTAAAAGACTTGTTTCAAATGTTTTAACAAACACAAAGAAATTATTTAGATATACCATACATAACGGACGGATTTTCGAACAGGTAGCAACAAACCCTCCGGTTATGGCTGCGTTGATGATGGTTAGAGATATAAAACCACGTAACGACGGGAACGAAGAACATGAACAACAGAGCCCAACGGGCTCAGAGCCACATAGTGGCGAGGATACTGGTCGGGTTATTCAAGACATTAAAAACGTGTATCCTGAAGTTATTGATTTATTTAGAGGAGTTAATGATTCAATTTCAAAACATTCTATAACCCTCGATGAAGAGAATAAATTAACAGATTATATATTCGTCATTATTGCAGAACTAATGAAGAGAATAAATGAAAAAGGAATTGGTGATATCATTAATGTCAGCGATGTAATGATGAAAAGAAATTTTGACTCATTATTTACAAAACCGAAAACAGAATATAGTCTTTATGACGTAATTACCGAATTAATGAAAAAGATTAATGATAATAAGAGTTCTGGCGGAAGAGTTGAATTAGAAGTGAATGATGTTAATGAGAAATTAGCCGAAAAAGCAGATAAAAACCACGTTCATTATATAACTTCAGACGAACAGATTATAACGGACTACCATGGATATTTAACACGAAGTGATGAAGCGAAGACAAAAAATGTTAATGAAAGAAGATATAAATACATTCGTGCTAAAGGTTATGACATAAGCTGTACTGTACAGTATGATGTAGCTAAAGCACCAGAAGCATTTGGTTATACCGGTGAAATTTATGCCTCTACTTTCAATGTTAACGGTGTATTAGTTGAACCAAGATTTACTTTGAGAGTTAAGTCAAAAATAACGTTTGAAGATGCTATTAAAAGTAAAGCTGACAAAGTTGAACTCGAAGCAATGAACAAAGTTTTGAAATCTCATAAACACAACATCTCCGATATAAATGAACTTCAAACTTCTTTAGACAGTAAAGCCGACAAGAACCATACACATAAATCCTTCACTACTGTTAGAGCAGACGACATAATATTGAACTATACCCTTGGTTCAAGTGCACCTTTAGAGAATCCAAGTACAAGCGTAAAAGATACACTAAACTCCTTAAATAACAAATGTATGAATATCGAAGGTCATGTCAGAAACTTTGAAACACATGAACTACCAGCAATGTTAGATAAAAAAGCAGATAAGAACCATACACATGATTTCTTCACAACTGTTGGTATAGAAAGTATTGAAGGAACGGTTGAAGGAACTGGTGGGGATGCATTATATTGGAAACCTCCTAACTTTCCACAAGGTTTAACATCGGAGGAAAACATAACGACGATGAAATACATTAGATGTAGAAATGTTTATGTCATGGAGGATGAAAATAATGTTAAATTCACTGCTCAAGATTTATATGATAAGAAAGCTGACAAGAACCATACACATAAATCCTTCACTACTGTTAGAGCAGACGACATAATATTGAACTTTGACCTTGGTTCAAGTGCACCTTTAGAGAATCCAAGTACAAGCGTAAAAGATACTCTTAACAGTTTAGATAAGAGTTGCAGGAATATCGATGATCATGCCAGAAACTTTGAAGCACATGAACTACCAACAATGTTAGATAAGAAAGCCGACAAAACTTATGTGGATGCAGAACTAACAAAGAAATTTTCGAAACCAGATACAATGACATTTACAACAGAAATTATAAATGGTGAACCAGCAACTCCATTTGAATTTGTTAGAGGTCTTCAACCAGATACTTTTGAATTTTTCTTGGATAATTCTATTGAACTAACATTACATTATAAAAGTGGAACAAATGCAACATTTCATCCGGGAGATACATTCCAAATGGTATTTAATGACATAAGTTCTTTAGAATATGTTTATAGAGCTATGAGCATATATGATTTAATATATCCTATAGGAGCTGTTTATACGTCTATGAATCCAATAAATCCAAACACTTTATTTGGTGGTAGATGGTATGAAATAGTTGACAGTTTTCCATTCTACACTAATACGCAGTCAATGAAGATGGGAGGTTCAAAGAAAATAGGTATTGAAAACCTTCCTTCACATATGCATAGGTTCAGTGGAAGAACATCTGTGGAAGGAAACCATTCACATTCAATAACAAAAAGAGGTTATACAAATCTTGCAGCGGGTTCGGATAGACAGGGAATGCATAGATATGATATCACAACTGACCCAGTAGATTCAAGCACAGGTATTTTCTGTGGAACGCAGGAAATCATACACATGTTGTAGCTGGTATTACAGACCCAGCAGGTAATGGAAAAGATTATATGCCTCCTTATATAACAATGCACGCTTGGATACGAGTTGGTTAAAATCTTTAACTTTACATAAATGAGCTTGAAAGAAGTATTCGAACAACATCCATGGAGGTCATTTAAGAAGTTCAATGAAGCTGCAAAGAGTCGGGATTTACTAACAGAGCTGAAGTGAAAAGGTTCTTTGACAAAAATGTTGTACATCAAACAAAAATAAACCCTTACGACTACTTTTTACCAATTTACTCCAACACTCCTGACGCATACCAATTTGACACTCTCATTCAAAGCAGAAAATGTGGTCATAAACCATTCCTCATCTTCATAAATGTTAACACTCGTAAAGCTTTTGCGTATATAATGAGAAATAAAGGAACTCGTGAAGTGTTAAGAGTTTTACAAAAGTTTGTAGCAGAACATAGCCCAAGTACTTTAACATCAGACCAGGATTCAGCATACCTCAGCAATGAAATCACAGAATTTCTCATTAAGCATAACATAACTCACTACACTACTGAAGACCATAACCATAACATACTCGGTATCATTAACCGCTTCATAAGGACTCTCAGAGATTTAAATCAAGAGCGAGACTTTACCGAAGAAACAATGAAACATTTTCTCGAAGTATATAATTCCTCAACACATTCTACAACAGGCCATACACCAAATTCAATGACACAACAACAAGAAGAAAAGTATATACAAAAGAAACGAAGCCAAACACAAAATATCAGAAATTCAACACAATTTACCCTCATTCCTGGTACAAAAGTTCGTGTAGTTCTTGACGACAAACCGTTGACAAAGAAACGTTTAAGGTTAAGTCGAAATTATTATATCGTAGACTCTACGCAAGGTAATGGATATCTTATAAAAGCTGCTGACGACTCCATAGCATTTTACCCTCGACATAAATTAGTCGAAAGTAGTAATGGCGAACTTGCTGAAACCATTGACGAAGCAAAGCGAGGAGTGGTTATTGAAATACTTGGTTACAACACAAACAATGACACTTATAAAGTAAGATATGAAGGAGGCGTTGAAGATGTTATACCATCTAAGAACTTGAGAGAGTCGAAGCCAACACATCTGGGACCATTAGAGCGGGAGTACTGGAAAGACAAAAATATGCCAGAAAGAATAAGAAAATTCTTCTAAACTTTTTCATTAGATGTAAATCAGACATGAATGAGAACAGTCATGTATTATTAATGGTACCATTTATTTTTGTCATAAACTTTATTTATGTTAGAATGTTAGATCTAACACGTTTTCTAACCACTTTTCTAACATGGTCTAAAACTCTCGAAAATCATGAATTTTTGACATTTCCTTATGAAAGAAAAATAACGCTAATTTTTTCTAAGAAAAATTTTTATTTTGTATGTAAAGATATGATTTCAACAATAGGTTCTACAACACTTCAAGCCGCGAACGGCGGGACTCTGTCCACAACAACTTCACCAAACTCTTTAGTTATGAATCCTACGTCAATGTTAGTAGAGATGAAAAACTTCATTCCTTCTTCATTTACTTTCGAAACAGAAATACAAAGAATTAAGCAAGAACTTTTAACATCTAATTTAAACTGTAGTGCGAAAGATGAAACAAATGAACAGTATCTTTATGAAATGCAGGACATTATTGACCATTTACCCAAATTGCCTGAAATTCAGCAACAAAAACTCACTATTCCTGAATTCGATGAAATAGAAGTGAAACCAACTGACTCAGTAGAAATAAAGAAGTTCATACGAAAGGTAAACTATGAGTTTCTAGGATATCATTGCAACCATAAAGTTATGGACAAAGATTGCGACATGGTATATAAGAACATCTCTGACATATATAAATCTGGGGAGTTTAAGGCATTCGACAACTTTGTTTCATTAGTTGCTGAATGTGTATGGCAGATAAGAGATAAAGATAAAAGATGTAAAATATGGAATGGACAAATAAAACCAACAGCTTTTGAGTTAAAGAAAACCATTGACGCTTTAGTTGTTTTAGCAGGTAAGGTTTCAGAATATAACGCAAAAATGAATCCGCAATGTTCTAAATGTAAAGCAGCAATGAGAAAATATAACTACTCCGTCAAAGAGATAGAAAGAATGCGAAACGACTATGCTGACTTAAAGAAAGAAATGACAAACATTGAGTTTGAAACAGTTGGAAAGATAGACAATGACACCAAAGTGGTTAGAATAGGTGATTTAAACGTAAGATACTCAAAGAAATACAACAAATATTCTTTGTCAGACATTATATCTCCATCTGGAAAGAGACCGCAGGACTGGGTTAGAATTGCTTCAACTCAGAAAATTTTGACAAGAAATCCTGAGCTTATGATATCAGTAAAATTCTATGGAACTGCAGCATATCTTATAGACAAAAGTCTTATACCAATAGTTTTGTTATGGATTGACCCAGTTGTTGGATATAACTTCATAACATATGGTTCATTCGATACGGAACGTTGCAGTGAAGGCTTACTTTACATCGTTCAGAAACCGAAGGACTTCAACACAAAAAGATATAAGATAGGAAGGACATATAATATAACTCTAAGATATGACAGTACAGTCAATAGAGTCAAGGTTGTGTTAGTTAATGATATGAGAGCTGCTGAAACAGAACTACTTGAAAAGTTTGAGAAAATGTATGGTGCTCCCATAAAAGGTAAAGAAACGTTTGAAGTAGATGAGATAGATAAAGCTATAAAATTATTTGACGAAGTTGCTGAAAAATACATGTAAAGCGTTTATTTTTGGTCTTTTGTGAAAATTCATGAAATTTGGTCAAAGCTTCCACGAGAGAAAAGATTCCTCATTCGCTAAGGATTCCAAAAATGAAAAAATCATTGATTTCGGCTGAGAAAAACAGCAAAAACCCTTCTTCCACGGGAACAAAGAAATAAAGAAGAAATAAAGAAGAAATAAAGTAAATTTTTTATTTATTCCCGTGGAAGATAGAGCACTTTTATGACACTTTTTATTCACGACAAACAAGACAAATAAAGAAAATAAGAAAATACGGCGCTGTCGCGGTTCGAACCACAGACCTTGACCCCTCCATAACACCACCTTAGACCACTGTGCTACGTAGCCTGTCGACATAAGATTTTTATAAATTGCATATTTGACGTTAAATTTATTTCCATCTGGCTTCCCACTGCATAGATATTCATACGTGTTTGTAAGACATTCATTAAACTTCTTTTCTATTGCATCTAATCTTGCGTTATTTTTTTCAATAACTTGTCTGTATTCTTCATCATCTCCAGCAGTGTTTGGTCTTCACGTTTAAAATATTCATTGTTAACCAATTTTTTATCTACAAATTTTATTAGTGTTTGATTCACTTCGTTATGATAACGGTCATATTCTTTCAATACGTAAGTGAAGACAAAATGCGTCGTACCTTCAATCTTAAAGCTTAAAGAACTTTCAACACAGTTTTGAGGGTCTGTCAGTGCGTCAATGAGATAGTATTCGAAGTCAGTCAATAATCTTTTTAAAGTCATTTCATACAGGATAAAATTTAATGTTGTGAAGAAATAGTGTTTATCTCAGAAAAAATAAAGTTAGTTTTTATTTTATTTATTTTTTATCCTGTATGTAAAGACAGATATGTCAACATTAGAGAACACAACAACTGCTATCGTTCATGAAGCCATAAATGAAGAATACGAATACATACAGTATAACAAACAATTGAGACTCATTCGTTCAGTCAAAGATGATATGTATCAAATGCAAAGTATTTTGACAGCATGTTTTGCTCCAGATACTAAGCTTCCTAAAGACTGGTTTAGGAACCAAAGCACACAAGAACTTTTGAGCGAAGCACAGCGAGACATACTTTTTTCTGAAAACAGTGAAGAACAGCGAGTAGGTAAAAAATCCCAGTCGCCAAAACTCTATGAAAACCGTGAAAAATTGCCAAACGGCTTGAGAGGATATTATGTTCATAGACTTCTCGTAAATAATGTGGCACAATGGGCTTCAGCTCGCTATTCATGGTATGTTTGTAAACTTCTTGACGAAATTCACAGACAAGAACGCGAAGATATGGAAAAGAAACTTCATGCAAAAGATGAAGTCATTGAATCCAAAGACAAAAGCATACAGAAAAGAATACCACGTTCAGTACCAAAAGGAAAGGAAAAGAGTTATAAGTATATGATTTATACTGAAGAGTTGGAAAATGAAGAAGATAAAGATATGGTTATGTTGCATTTAGTCAGAAGAAACAACAAGAGCTTTTACGACTTATTTTTGAATAACTGAAGGTGCTACCATGTTACCATGTGCTACCAGGTCATTTAACTTCTCTGAAAAAGTGTGACAACATGACATTTTGACAACAACACAGGAGGAAGGTAGTTATGAATTATTTTTGAAGAACTGAAGGTGCTACCATGTTACCATGTGCTACCAGGTCATTTAACTTCTCTGAAAAAGTGTGACAACATGACATTTTGACAACAACACAGGAGGAAGGTAGTTATGAATTATTTTTGAAGAACTGAAGGTGCTACCATGTTACCATGTGCTACCAGGTCATTTAACTTCTCTGAAAAAGTGTGACAACATGACATTTTGACAACAACACAGGAGGAAGGTAGTTATGAATTATTTTGAAGAACTGAAGGTGCTACCATGTTACCATGTGCTACCAGTCATTTAACTTCTCTGAAAAAGTGTGACAACATGACATTTTGACAACAACACAGGAGGAAGGTAGTTATGAATTATTTTTGAAGAACTGAAGGTGCTACCATGTTACCATGTGCTACCAGGTCATTTAACTTCTCTGAAAAAGTGTGACAACATGACATTTTGACAACAACACAGGAGGAAGGTAGTTATGAATTATTTTTGAAGAACTGAAGGTGCTACCATGTTACCATGTGCTACCAGGTCATTTAACTTCTCTGAAAAAGTGTGACAACATGACATTTTGACAACAACACAGGAGGAAGGTAGTTATGAATTATTTTTGAAGAACTGAAGGTGCTACCATGTTACCATGTGCTACCAGGTCATTTAACTTCTCTGAAAAAGTGTGACAACATGACATTTTGACAACAACACAGGAGGAAGGTAGTTATGAATTATTTTTGAAGAACTGAAGGTGCTACCATGTTACCATGTGCTACCAGGTCATTTAACTTCTCTGAAAAAGTGTGACAACATGACATTTTGACAACAACACAGGAAAATATGATGTAGCCCAAAAATAAAGTTAGTTTTAAAATTATTTTTATTTTTTTATTCCTATATAAATGACAGCAACAAACAACAGCAACAACTATATCATTTCTGATGAAAAAGTTATTGATTCATTAGCTGAGGAATTAGTTGTGGCAGAAACTAAAACCCTCAACGAAAGAATTGGTGAAAACAGGATTGATTTACATAACTACCTCAAACATGATGGAGGAAGAGGAAGGAAAACTGGTATGGCTTTATTAGTAAATAAAATATCAAATTTAACGATTATAGATGTTGATATCAATAAATCGTACAATGATGAACTTAAAGAAACAGTTAGAAAGACATTTTATCAAAACTTTCGGATAAAGATGTTATCGTTAAAACCGCTTCAGGAGTCTTCACATTTATTGCAACACTAATTTCTTCTATGCAGTTTCGAACAGAATGATTAAATGTTATTCCTGCAATGATTATGATATTGATATAATGACTTCAATGGATGATTCAAAGCGTTCTTTAGTGGTTATGGCTGATTCAAGAGTTCGCAAGAATGCAACAGAACCAATCAAAACATACTCATTCATTCGTGGAAGTTATGATTCAACATTAACTAGAACAGTGAATGATATATTAAATGATTTGAATATTAAGGTAAGAGTTGAACAGAAGAATGAAGAAATAAAGAATATCATGAATGAAAACAAAGATGTAAACATTGACGATAAACTAGCTCAGAGCATAGTTGATGGCATCTGTGATTTTGAAGTACATAATGACGGTGGAAACATGAATTTAGAAAAAAAATAACATTATTCACACTGTTTCAAGCAATTAATTCGTTACCTAATCATTTAATTAATGAAGCATACGATAACGTTTATAACTTCTGCAGCTTAACAGAAAATGCAAAAAGTAATTTTGAAAAAGCACGTGGTAGATATGCACATTTAATGACTTCTCCATTTGTTTTGGTGAAGATTCTAAAACTATACCAAAAGGAATATTATGATGAATACGTTTTACCTTTATTACGTAAGCCAAAATAACATTTGATATCAAACTTGATGACTCGTTTTTGATAACAGATATTAGACGCAAGGCTGAAAATCATCAGTATAAAAACAGTTCTGAAGTAATTGAGGATTTATCACGTGTAATTCGTTTTGTAGATTGTGGAAACAAATATTTCATTCAGAAAGATTACAACATACACGACAAAATGAATCAAATATCATTTGTTCTTCAGTCAAACATGAAAGAGTCACTCAAAATGATTAAATTATTTAAAGAAGAAGGTAAAAACCATAACAGCATGGGATGTACTACTAAATCAATTATCCTCATTAACCGTTAAGGGTGTTTGCTTTAAATCTGATTCCCCAGATGTTTTCTCAACGTTTCAGGGTTATAAATACAACATTTTCGAAAAACCAGATTACTCAAAAATTGAGATGTTTATGGATTCATAAAGAAGCCATTTGTGATAATAACGATGAAGTGTATAAATACCTTCTCGGCTGGATTGCATCAATGATTCAACATCCTGGAATCAAGAATGAAACAGCAATTATTTTGAAAGGACTTCAGGGACAGGTAAAAACAGATTTACAGACATTATTTCTGAACTCCTCGCTGGTTATTCATGTAAAAACATTACCGAAATAAGTGAGCTAACGGGTAATTTCAATTCAGTAGTTGAAAATAAAATGCTTCTTATACTTAATGAACTCAAGAATGTGGGTGAAGATAGACTCGCAAACTTCAACGCTTTGAAATCAATTATTACGGATAATGAGATTAGAATTAATGAAAAGAATCAACCCAGAAGAACAGCACAGAACGTTGCAAACTTCATTTTCGTAACTAACAACGTTTACCCTGTCAAAATTGAAGTTGGAGACAGAAGATACGTAGTTTTAAGAGTTAATGGTAAATTTAAGGGTCAATTTGATTATTTCAAGAATTTAATGGATTCATGCACTAAGGAATTTTATGATAAC